AAATCAATTGATCACAAATACAAGGATTTATTTCTGGATTTCCAATTCTAGTCCATGGATCTGTTTCTTTTGCCATACGAAGCTCTTTTTATTATTGTAGATTTTTAGTGTACGTTTTGAAATTGGGAATTTCTAACTTTGTTCTTTTTTTTAAAAGATTGTTTAGGCTAATCTGGGTCCCTTTAATTTCCTTTTGAATTTTAAGGTCAGCTTGTCAGTTTCTGCAAAGGGACCAGCTGAGATTTTGATAGGGATTGCACTTAATCTTTGGTTCAATTTGGAGAATATTGTCTTCTTAAAAATATTGTCTTCCAATCTATGAACACAGAATATCTTTCTATTTATTTAGGTCTTCTTTAGTTTCCTTCAACAATGTTTTGTAGTTTTCAGACTGTAAATGTTGTACTACTTTTTAAAAATTTATTACTAAGTACTTTAAATTTTGATGCTAATATAAATGGAATTGTTTTCTTAATTTCATTTTTGGATTATTCATTTCTAATTTATATAAATCAAATTGATTTTTGTATATTGATCTTGTATCCTACAATCATGCCAAACTCACTTATGAGTTCTAATAGTTTTTTGGGTTTTGGCAGAGGTTTTTGGGTTTCTCAGAATTTTTCATGTACAAAATCAGGTCATTTGCAAATAAACACAATTTTAGTTCCTCATTTTCAATATGAATGCCTTTTATTTATTTTTTTCTTTTTTCCTAATTGTCCTAACTCAAACCTCTTGTACAAAGTTGAACAGAAATAATGAGAACAGATATCCTTGTCTTGATTCTTATCATAGAGGGGAAAATTCAATCTTTCAGTATTAAGTATGGTGTTAGCCATGTGTTTTCATAGATGACTTTTATCAAGTTGAAAAAGTTAACTCCTGTTCCTAGTTTTGAGTATTTATTATAAAGAAGTATAGGATTTTGTTAAATGTTCTTTTCTGCACAGCTTCATGTTTAAAGGATATTTTGCTGGGCTATAGAATTCTTGGTTGACACTACTTATTTTCAGCATTATGAATATATCCTTCTATAACTCTGGCTTGATTGTTTATATTGAGAAATCAACTCAGTCTTATTGTCATTTATTTTGAAAGTAATCTGAGTCCTGTTCACCCCCCCTTACTCAAGATTTCCTTTGCTGGTTTTCAGAAATTTTACTATGATGTACCTAGGTAAAGATTACTTTTTATTTATTCTTCTTATAGTTTGTAAGTGCTCTTGAAGCTGTGACATAATATTTTTTGTCAACTTGGAAATGTTTTCAGCAATTATCTCTTCAAATAGTGCTCCTTCCCCTTTCTCTCTTTTCTCATTTTCTGAGATTCTAATTATATATATCTCAGACCTTATTATTATGCTCTCCTTATCTTTTAACCTTCCTCATGCATTTACCAAATTTTTATTTTTCCATACTTTATTCTAGGTATTTTTTTGACCTATCTTTCTTCAGCTGAATCCAAGATATTAATTAATCCATTCATTCATATATAAGTTTATGTTATCTTATTTTTGGTATCTAAATATCTGTTAAAATTCTTAATATTGTCTTTTATCTCCTTGAAAATAATAGGTGTTATTTAGAACATGTGTCTGATAATGCCAGCATTTGAACCCCCTATGTGTCTATTGTCTACAGTTCTCATTATATTTGATTCATGTTGTATTGTCTCTTTAAGCTCCTGGTTATTTATTTTTATTGTTTATCTGACAATGATTTGCAAAATAACTTTTAGAAATAATTGGAGGCCTAGGATGATGCCAGTTTCCTTTCCAAATGATTATAATTGCTTCTGCCTGCTTCCTGAAAGCACTAGCAGCCTGGAATTATCTCATCTGGTGATGATCCGCCATTACTGCTAGAGTACATCCTTTCGGTGACCCATCCCAAATCAAGCGGTGTTACCAGGACTCCTTTCTCTACCTTGATAGTGCCCTATTGTCATAGCCCTCACAAGAGTATAAAAAAATTGCTCAGCCTTTCAGCTGTCCTCTAGAATTGACAGATGAATTTTTGTCATCAAATTTTAACCTATTCTATGTTTTATTCCTCTGAAACAGGACTTTTATAGCCCCCCTGCCTATAGCTAGCTGTACTAGCAAAGCAGTTAGTAATTGTGGGGAAGGCTTAAGCATCTTCTTTCTGATCTAAGAGCCATACATTTTTTTTAGTGGCTTTTGGAAAATAAAGTCCACACCTGAATAATATAAAGCACAGGATATAACAATAGTAACAATGTAGGTTCTTCCAAGACAGGAGAGTGGTGCCATGGCCAGTCAGTGCAGGACCTATTTCATAGGAGCGCAAAAGATTGGAGAGCCCATTATCTTCTGTTAAGTGGCCCTCTGCCCTGAATGGCCATTTTATATAATCTTTGTGCCTAATTAAAAATGAAACTTCTAGGAGCAGCAATGGAGTTGACGTGTAAAGCTACCTGCGCTTCTTATGAATTTATTCATTTATCTCCTATCACAGCCTTCAGATGATCAACCTGATTCATTTAAAAGTTTTGGCATGCTTATAAGCTCCTATATTGCCCCAGTTAAGTCCCATTACTAAAAATGTTTCAGCAAATTTATAATATCCCTGCCTGTGTTGCTCTTGCTTTGCAGAAAGAAATTTGGGGCTGCGAACCTATCAGTCTGACACTTTTATGAGCTACACTCAGTACAATATCATGTTTTTAAGTGGAAAAGAAAACCACAACAATACTCCAGGGAGCATGTGTTATTCTCCAGCCCTGGAGCGTGACGTTTGCTGCTTACCTGCCTACCAGCACACCTGTGCAGGCCTGCCTTTATTAGACCAAAAAGCTTAACTCTCTCAGACTCCTGAGCTCCAGGTGGCTTACAGAGATTCTGCCACCGACTTCTTACTTGAAAGTATAAAATATTTTATGTTTCAACTTTTATTACTTTCAGTGGCTCAATGTAGTTTCCTTCTCATTAATTTGCTTTGAAAAAATATATAAACAAATCAGGTATCTCCTATTTAAATAGCAATGGCAGCAAAGCCAAAGACTAGCCTTTGAATGAAAGTCTTAAGCAAGCATCAGTATTAGAGTTTTAAAGAAAGGAAGGAAAGAAGAGAGGGAGGGAAGGAAGAAAAGGCAAAAAGTTGAGATAGTGGCAAAATAAAATAGAAACGAAAGTTCACTTAAGGAGCATTCTGCAGGAATTGAAATCTCAGGTAACAGGTTTTAAACCAGCCGTACACCAGAAGTTTAGGCCTAAGGAAATCTGACAGTATACTCTAAATAAATGCTAATATACTCTTCTTTCCCTAAAGATCATCTTTTTCCTCATGTTCTAAGGAACTTGGATTTTCCAAGGAAATCAGAATATACCTGCAAAGTTCAAATGCTTGTATAAGAAAGCTCAGTGTCACCATTATAGCAAGTATACAGATCCCAAAAGCCTGCATTCTGTGTATGAATGATACTCCTGGTTGTAGCTTATTTTCCTTTCCTTAAGCTTAGCGTTGACTTTGACTTCCTCTTCTATATTTTGGTGGTGGTTTTTATTTTTATTGTTATCTTGCTGTATGTGTGCTAGCCACCTCAGATAATTTTTGGAATGAACCTAGTGATAGGTAGCTGGATATATAAAAGTAATAGTTAACAGCTTATTATGATTACACTGCACTCATGCATTTTGTGAGGGGCTGGAAGGACTACAGGGTGAATGTGGACAAAGCTAGAGAAATGTTATTTTGTCAAGGCTATTTTGAGTCTATCTTTTCCCTTCAGTCCTGCCCAGCCAATGTCTCTTAGGATTCTCTCTTTTAAGAGACCCTAGATTATCAAAGGGGTAGGAGGAAGCCAGAGATAAGATTTCAGCCTCCCTTCTGGTGCCAGCCTAGTACTACTTAAGTCTCATGCCATCTCAAGCCTACTTCTCAGGCTTCCATCTAAAGCCTTTTCCGGTCCTCAAACATCTCTCTCATCACCGGGTTTACCAATGTGGAGATGATGTCTAGATAATGTGTATTCTCTTTGTTTAAGGACAAGATAGGCCATCCCTTCCTTTCTTAAGCATTGATGCCGAGAGTATTGTCTAGTGGGTATGGTGTTCTAACAGAAAGCCAAGCCAAGCTTCATCTCAGCCTTCAAGAATTTTAGATACTATATTAGCAAATACATAATTTTATAGGAGTCCAATCCACAACTTAAAAATAGGTGTGGAAATAATGACCTTTTTTTGGCTTGTTAATGAAATCTCATCTTTGACCCTGGGCTGCTGTTTTGCCTAATGGCAGATACTTAGTTGAGTTCATCCTTTTTTATTCAGTGATTTCTCTTTGCCTCGTGAGGATTCATAAGATCTGCTCAAAATTTAGTTCAGAGTTCTATCCATTTCTCTCAGCATAACCCCCAGCCTCACCATGAGCTAACACCTTGTACAGAGATTTATGGCAAGCGTTTCCATCTCTACCTTTAAGATCCATAGGAATATTTGGGAACCTCTTCTACAGAATCTTTAGGAAATTGAAGGAAATAGGAGAGATGTATCATTCTGTAGTCTCTCCTGGACTTGATATTCCAGATGTCTTGTCTTTATACACATGTATTAAGAAAGAAAGTCTGTCTTCCTGTTTTAGAGATTGGCCCATCTGGCTGTCAGAACCCAAGTCCATCAGATATTTGAACGTTTTCCCCTTCTGATTCTAATTCCATATAGCTACCTGGTTAGACCATGTTGAGGAGTCTGTTTGACAGTTACATTTTCAGTATAAATATGCAATTGTTTATTCTGGTTTCATGTATCATTGTTAAGGGTGTTGTTAGCAAGTATCATATGCATTAATCCAATCAATCCAGGTCATTTCTGAGTCTGAAAAGTGGAGAACTAGACTCTGGGATGAGGTGACTTTAGACTCTAAGACTCAGAAGAGGCAGGGACTGTGTTTATCTTGCTCATCAGTCTTTATTTTAAAGTGCCTGGTCCTTAGTTGGTATTTGATACATCTGAATAAATAAAAATTTTACCTTCACAGGCTTATTGGTAGCTACTCAACTAGACTCTCTCCTGGTGACATTAATCACACCACACAGGATTTCTTTTGAACTTCTTGGTAAGCTATGTTATTTCATTTTCTAGATGTAAAAAACCAAGACTTAATTAAATGTTTCCTCTTGTAACAAAGCTAACAGAATGACTTTGGAACCTAGATTCAGAGAATCCCAAATTACCTTTCCATCGCCTCATGGTGTCCATGGGAATATATCAATAGAGACCACAGCTAAGCTAGAGCCATCAGGTAAAATTTCTTGGAAAAGGTTTAACTTGAATTAGGTTTTGAAGGTTGTGCAGCAACACAATATCAGCAAAAATGAAGGGGTAGGATATTCCATGTTATATTGGGGAAATATTAAGTAGTAAAGCTCAACTTTAGTGTATAAGCTGTAAGTTATAGGATGATGGGCAATGAATCTAGAAAAGTATGACTTACAATGATTTAATGATCTCATTAAATTCTTGAATGGGAGACTGAGGAATCTGAACATTCTTTTATAAGTAAACAGGAAGCAAGCAAACGTTTTTAAAGAAAATATGAAACATGATCAAAGCCATGCTTTAGAGTGATGACACAAATTGACATGTTCCTCAGTTGGAAATGAGGAGACTAGTTAACATGTTATTGAAAATAGTGCGTGTTATGATAGTCAGGATGGGACAGTAAGGGAGGAGGCAGATAATTCAAAGAGCTCCAAGTCTCAAGACAATATAGGTAGGGGAATGTAGCAATATAGAAACGGAGACATTAAATTGACAATGTAGAAAGATCATGCTTTTGGTTTGGTAGACATTAAGTTTGTATTGCTCATAGTGTAGTCAAATGTTGGTGACCAGCTTCCTGGGTGGCATGAGACAATAGCTTGAAAAATCTCAGCTAGAGTCACTTATTTGGAATTCCTCTGTAGACAGGCAGTAGTTGAAATCATAGAATGAATGAGATTATCAGAGGCAAGGGTATTAAAAGTAAAAAGTAAAGACTTGAACAAATCTGAAGTAGGAACATTTAGGGGACAGAAGGAGGAAGAAGAAGCCTCAAAGTAGACAGAGAAGGCGCGGTCAAAGAGGTAGGTAGTTATTACTTCCCTCAGGGGGTTATTTCTGCTAGTTTCAAGACTGAGAACTACTGTCTTAGTTTAATGATAGAAAATGATGAAAATAGCTAGGAGGAAGTAAGTTGGTAAATATGGATTAGGCCAAGGCAAATTTGATGAGCTGAATAGAATTTTTTTGTGGCCATTTACTTTTAAAATTTTTTTTTACAATGCTACTTCATAACTGGCTTATTTTCCCAGGCATCCCCCCATCCCATTCTGAATAAAAGTAATGGGCAATGCTAATGCACAAAGGATTCCTGGTAAATTCTTAAAACATTCAGGAATGTTCTTCTAAGCCAAGTGTTAGACTTAATTCAAATATGAGTTGAATTGCTAGCAATTGATGCTATAGTAGACTTTGAATTGAAAGTAGTAAACTAATGGAGTTACTTTATCTCAGTTATCAATGTTCCCTTTTCTATTTCTAATATTTTGTCTCTGAAATACTAATCCTTCTTTGCCCTCTGGTTTCCAATCTTTAGTAAGTTAAGTAATTTTTTGTTTTGAAAAATTATTCTATATTAGAAATTTTTGATTGATTAACACATAGCATATTTCTATTGTATCAGTATATGATGCTTTTACAGAAAGCAAACAAAAAGTGAAAAAATATCTTGTTCAAGATCAAAATTTGTTTGCTCAATCTTTTTTTCTTTTTGAAGTATACTTGATTTATAATATTATACTAGTTTCATGTGTACAACATAGTAATTCTATATTTTTATAAATTACACACCAAAGCTATTGTAAAGTATTGGCTATATTCCCTGTGTTTGCTCAGTCTTAATAAGAATATACATATTTCATAACTTTCTGAATATTTTTTTGCTAATCTAGGCTTGGTTTTTTTTGAATAATGAATAGAGGCTTTGGAAAATTGCTTTCTAATTGCAGAAAGGATTTTTTTCTTCAATTAATCTCTATTATTAATTTCAACTGATATGAGAAGCCCTGAAAAGAATCCTTGTAAATACACAGACTGTTAAAAAGTGTCAGTAATCTATTTTTGAAGAACATTTTGATTGGCAAAAATTAAAAGAAGAGTTGATGTCATTGTAAATACACTAGGAGAAGACAATTAGAATAAAAATTTTTTTAAAGATGAGAAACACCCAATGGCAAGTTGGCAGAGTGTTAATCAGAGTCAAATAATCCATTATAGTACAAGAAGAAAATATCAAGCCTTCTATTTATAATTATTTCTTGTCTTAGAAAAATAGAAAAGAAATTCAGTTGTATTAATTGTTAATATAGATATTTACACTGGTACCTCACCCCCTGAGTATCGGGAGGTCATGGGTCATACTATGAGTGCAAGGTGCACACTATGATAACCAGCATCACTCCACCACTCTTGGGCTCCCTTTCAGCATTTTGCCAGGTATTGCAATTTCCTTTAAAAGTTGTAATACTTAAAACAATAAATTTAAAAATTTTTAAATTATTTACAATTATTTTAAAAATAAATTTTAAAATTTATTGTTTTAAGTATTATAACTTTTAAATATTTTGTAACGAGAAAGACAGTGACCACAAATTTTGTCCTACAAAGATATTCTCTAGTTATCTCATTGAAGTATTTGAAGTGGTTGTCGAAATAAAAATTGAGTTATACATTTTTTTTTTACAAATTAGATAAATGCTTCAAATTTGCTGTCCTTTGCTGCACTGGTAGGTGAGTCTCAGTAGAATGCTACCTTGTAGATTTTTTTTTGAAAAAAGACATATTTTTATCCAGCCCATCAAGATGAAGTGGATGCTCCAACAATGAGTGACTCATTAACTGTTCTTGAGAGAAACTCACCATTCATACAGAGAAAGCATTTTGAAAAAGGATCTTCGGAGATGTTTCTGTCATGTGATTTTGCTGCATTTCAAGAACAGTTGTAAATATGACATCTATAAATACTCTCATAACTACTCCTTATTTTTAAAATGTTTTATTGAAGAATAGTTGATTTACAATGTTGTGTTAGTTTCAGGTGTACAGCAAAATGATTTAGTTATGCATGTTATATATATTCTTTTTCAGATTCTTTTCCATTATAGGTTATTACAAGATACTGAATATAGTTCCCTGTACTATACTGTAAGTCTTTGTTGTTTATCTATTTTATATATAGTAGTATGTAGCTGTTAATCCCCAAATCCTAATTTATCTTATTTTTTAAAAATAACTAACATTTTATAATCTGTTTAAAAATCTCCTTAATGAATATTTCAGTGGATCTTGAACTCATTGCTAAAAATATAACAATGCTACAACTTCTGATTAGGTGTCAGAAACAAGTGATTTTTACCCAAGAAGACACCAAGTTACGGAATTTCAAAAAATGTTTATGTAATTGGTAGACGAGATTGAAAAGCAAGTATCATGATTTCCTAAGTATTTCCCTTGATGTACTCATTTCATTGGAATATAACATGTTTGATAAAGTATCTTCTTCAACTGTGTTAGCCTTTCAGACCAATTTAAAAAGTTAAATCTTTAACTTGACTTTCAGATCACTAAATGTTAAAATAAGACTTTCATAGAAATTCAGCATATTCAATTATATTTTTTTCACTGAAGATAATCAATAACTTTAAAAGCAAAGATTTTATATATCACTGGTAACTTTAAAAATTATTTAAACATTTCATCTTTAATCTAGACTTTAAAATCTTCTATTTATATGCTTATAACTGTGTATATATTATATTTCATATCATATAATCAAACTATAGTATATATATATACACACACACACACACTTTGTAAGTAAAAATACACGTATAGGGTACACAGAATTTTTTCCACTGTTAAGAGATTTACTATTCAAATAGTTTGGAGTCTACTAAAGTAATAAACTAGAATGAACCAGATAAAATATTTTTCTGTGAGGACAATAATTGCATTGAAGAGTAAGCAGTACTTTAGTATCTATTATCGCATAAGCACCAACAAGGGCTGCATTATGACTTTCATGGGCCCTACACACATTGCTTTTGTGGGCCTCTTCTTCTGTAAAAATATTTAAAATTATATTTTATGACTGCATTGGCTTAAAAATGATACTCCTTGTTTTCTCTAACCTGAAAGTTCATTTTTTCTTCTGAATTTTAAGATAAATTAAAACACTTGTATGTTTTAAATAAAGGATCATGGGCCATGGGCACTGTGCCACATGGATAAGTTGGCCCTGTCATCAACACCATAAGACATGAAATACAGCTTCTCATGTTCAGATTTCAGTGCCATAACTAGTACACCTTCGTTGCAAAATAGCCACACGAGGACCAGGTATACTTTATAAGGAAGGGCTGATGCACCACAGGGTATGTGTTTTCTCCAAAAAATCCCCCAAAGACACTACGTCTTCCTGTTTGAAAGATGGTGAAGTCCTCAGAATGGCACCTGGGACAGGAGAAAAGAGAGAACCTGGACCTGGAGCTACACCCTAGGAGCAGGTGGAATCCCTGTAGGTCATACCAGGGTCAGTAAAACAGTGGTGGGGGAGCCAATCTTTAATTAAGTTAAAACCCAACTGCTCCCTACAGCCTGCAAGACTGACTCATCCCTTTCACTCCTGTCGCCTTCTCCAGACTTCTGTGACACTGGCCTCCCTGCTGTTCCTCAGACACAAGCTCACTGCTGCCTGAAGGCCTGTCCTGGGATACTCTTTCCCCACGTTAGGGCAAAGCTACTCCCCTGTGTCACTTAGGCCTCTGCTTACATGTCACCTCCCCAGATAGTCTTTTCCTTCTCTCACTACTCTGTTGCAACATCCTGTTTTATTTTCTTCATAGCACTGGTCACTCACTGTCTCAGTCTGTCTTGAGCATTCATTCATTTGTTGATTGTCTATCACCCCGTATGGAACCTAAGCCCCATAGTTGCAGAGGGTATCTGTCTTGTTCACCTGCTGCTCCTCAGTGCCTGGAACCATGCCTGGCATCCAAGAGATATTTATCAAATGAATCAACTGAACTCAGTGTAACAGCTACATCAATCCCTCCTTCCTCTGCTTTTGCTCAAGCCCTGCAGTTCATGGCTGTCTACTGTGACCTTTCCTTTACAGGAATGTCAAATCTAGCTCAGCACCTAGTTTAACATAATATATCTGAGCACTATTTTCATAATAGGATACAGGAGAGTGCAGTACAACGAGGCAGCTGAGAAAAACCTGCCCAAACATCTTAAATATTTATTTATATCTATTGATGCTAAAACACTTCACATGAGTGTGTATCACATTATGAACCAACTGACATTCCATTGCTACATGAAACATCTTTGTGCTGCATCTATGACTTAGATGACAGCTTGGGTAAAATGACATAGCACGTACAGTATGCCCACTGATCATATATCTGCTTCTCAAAAGTGGAGACAGTAGCACAGAATGCAATGTCCAATGTTAAAATGTGAACGGTATCATTTTTAGGGTCTCTTTCTCTAGCCACCAGAGCTATTCCCAAGCAGGAAAGTTTTTGAAGTGCTTCACTGCCTGCTTTCTTTCTCAGTGAGGCAGTTGTGGTAAGACTACTGTCCAATGGTCAGTAATTGTTAATATTCAGCCTTTAGAAACATCAGAGCATGACAGTCAAGCCCCCCCCACACACCTCCAGACACTGATTCTGGCTTCAGTCATGAGTCCTTCTGCTGGAACCTCTTCAATTTTCCATTCTTCTTTTTTTTTTTAAGTATTTATTTGTTTATTTATTTAGTTTTTTTCATTGAAGTGTAGTTGATTTACATGGTTAGTTTCAGGTGTACAGCAAAGTGATTCAGTTATACATATACAGATATATACATATATTTTCAGATTCTTTTCCATTATAGCTTATTATAAGAAACTGAATATAGTTCCCTGTGCTATATAGTAGGTCTTTGTTGTTTATCTATTTTATATATAGTAACATATATCTATTAATCCCAAACTCCTCATTTATCCCACCTCTCCTTTCCCCTTTGGCAACCAGTTTGTTTTCTATTATTCTTGCTCAAATTGCATTACCCAACCATCCCCACATACACTCACAAACCAATCAACCAAGAAGTATTTATTTACTGCTGATGGTGTGCTCAGTACTATGCCAGAGCTTTGAGGAGATGGAGGTGAACTGTAAAAAATCATTTCTGTTCTTGAGAACTTACAGTCCAGATAAGAGACAAAATTGCTTGGCGTAAAAAAAGTATTGATAGGTGTTACCTACACTTACTGTGGTGATCGTTTTGCAATATATACATATATTGTGTTATATACCTGGAACTAATATGTTATATTTCAATTATATCCCCAGTTTTTTTAAAAAGGTAAAATCCAATCAAATCAACAAATTTTTTAAAAAGGCATTGAATTTTTTTAAAAGTTTTTTTTAACATTTTTTATTGATTTGTAATCATTTTACAGTGTTGTGTCAAATTCCAGTGTAGAGCACAATTTTTCAATTATACATGCACATATATATATATTCATTGTCACATTTCTTTCCCTGTGACCTACCATAAGATCTTGTATATATTTCCCTGTGCTATACAGTATAATCTTGTTTATCTATTCTACAGTTTTGAAAAAGGCATTGAATCTTAAAGGACAAAATACAACTGCAGGAAGCAGACCATTCTCTAAGTAAGAGAGAAGGGCATTTCAGGCAAATGGATAAAGGCATAAAGAAAGCATGAATATGGCTTGTTTGTGGACTTTGAGAAGACTTGATTAAAATGGAGTCTATGTTGGGAAAAAAGTGGGAAATGCGGTTAGTTAGCAAATGAGAACATATCATCAAGACGTTGAATGCTAGGCAGAAGCATTTAGATTTGTTTGAGCGGAAAACTTGAAATTATATTTACTCTCATCTTTCTCCCCATGTCCCAAATTTGTAGAGAAAATAAAAGACTTCTTTTTGTTGAATAATTCCTTCCTGGAAGTCTTCTATTTGTAGTAATGACAGTCAAAACCCTCTGAAGGTATGTTAAGAATAGTTGCTGAAACCTCAAGCTGAGATTTTTAGCATTTATATGTTTTTCATAAGGTTCTTTTGCTATTTTTAACCTTAAATAATTTGGTTTGGAGGAATGAGAGAAATGATCTTTAATAAGAGGTGACTTTTCTGACAGCGAATGGATTTTTCATTTCAGCTGGTCTTAGGACACAGTTACTTTCTCAACTATTATAAGCTGCTTTTGGTTTGTCTCAGGACCTGGAATAAGAATACATTATATGCGGCTGGGTAATGCATGCCCTAAATTTTAAATTTTTTTAAATTTAAAGCTTATTTCTATTACCCTGTGCCCTAAATTATTGTCAAAGGAAATAAGAAAATTTGTGGAGGATGTATAATGGGCCAGTGTATTAGGATAGACTAAGATAAATTGCTGTAAAAAAAAAATTTACTCTCAAATCCCAGGAGTTTAACAAAACAAAGATTTATCCCCGTGATAGGATGGCAGAGGTCCTCTTCTAACAGTTACTCAGAGATCCCAGCGGACAGAAGCATCACCATCTGAACCTCTACCATCTAGAACTCATGGTCTCCTTGGTCCTAGCATCAGGTGAAGAGAGCAAGTAAAATTTCACCCTGGCTCTTATGTGCCTCGACATTTTGGCCAGAACTAGTGACAAGTCAGCTGATCTGTCTTACAACTAAATACTTAACAGAGCTGAGATCCCAGCCCAGGACCTCTGACCCACATCTCTTTCTGCCTCACCACACCACTTTGGTTTTTTTCATTTGCAAAAATGAGGATAATATTACTCTGTAAAGCTTTTGTGAAGATTAAATAAAACTGAAGAAGTACATTGGCTGATGCCTAGTCTCGGCAGACCTTACTGGTGCCCACCAGTTCCTGGCTCTTTTACCTGTCCTGGATACTTGGAAGACTACTCCCAGACTCCTTGCAGTTAGGTGGGGCCATGTCCCCTAATCTGTTGGCTGTTTTGCCATACCCACACCATGGCCATTCACACTTCTGTGTCCTGTATAAAATATCCCCTCTGCTCAAGTGCATATAATACCTCCCGTTGCACCTTCTATTACTCATTCCTTAACTCCATCTCCCTCTGGAGCGCCATAGCCTGGGAACTTCTCAAAAAAGTAGAATCTCAGACTCTACCCAGACCTACTCAAGCACAATCTGCATTTTAAGAAAACCCCCCAGTGATCCTTACGCACATAAATGTTTGGGATGCGTGACTAGAGATAATATTATCAGAGATTTGGATTTCTGTCTTTTACACTGAACTCTGAGCTCCTCTAGAGGAGAGCCATGTGTTTCATTCCTGAGTCCCCTAATAAAGTGTCAGTATATACTGAGCACTTACAATATGTAAATGAGTGAAACAGAAAATGGAAACAAGATGGTGCAGTGGTCACCCGAGTAGTAGTGGCAAAACCAGGACTCCCCAGACACCTATATATCAGAGCCTTTCTACCATCCATCCATGCTGTGCCACTTACAAAGTGTCTTTCTTTCCCATTTCTAAGCCTCAGAGATGTTGGATGACACGCTTACAGTCACAAGGCTATTTAAAGTGGCAAAGAGGATGCTAGGATACAAGTTTCTCTCTTGACACTTACTTGAGGATCTTTCCACTGTGTCATTTGGCCTCTATCTGTCAGAAGAACAAATGAAAAACACACTAATGGAACTTCTGTTCTCACAAGTCAAGTTTCAAAGAGCATCTGCCGTGATGAATAAAAATATATTTGTATTTCCCCAGTGTGCTTCCATTCATTTGGTCCTGCATTACAGTCCAGTAAGCCAAGCTCAGTGAACATGCTTATCTCAAAGTTAAAGGAAGAGGCCCTAACTGAAAAAACCAGAAAAAAAAGGTAAGAAATAATTATAAATAGAAACAATCAGTTTGCCAATCTGATTTTTTCTATCTGGTTTCAATAATTTGTAACATTAAGTGTATTTTTTCCAGTACATTTTTAAAATGAGTAATAATGGATACAGACTTTCATTTAAGGTGTATTTATATTCCAAATGCCACATTTACTTATGTATTTCCCGTGTACTTGACTATTTTGGGAAAAAAACAAATAGGACATTTATATAATTGCCACCAGTATGCTTTGCTTTGTTTTCACTTTTGAACTAACAACCATATTATGCTATCCTATTCATTCATGAAGGCAGCAGATATTTATTACAAGTGCCCTATGTGTCAGGCACCTTCACAGGCTCTGCCCCCAGAAAATTTTGCTTCCAAGAATCTTATAGATTAATGAGGGAGAGAGCCAAAGAAGCAAGCAGTTACAATGAGGTTTTATGAAGGCAGGTGAAAACACAGGTACTACAGGGCATCTAGGCAGGCAGAGCAGCTGGTCCAGGAGTGGGAGACCAAACAGCCTTTGCAGAGGAGACTATGAAACTATGTCCTAAAGAAGAATAGAATTTAATTAGGCAAATTATGTGAGGTGAGACTTTCCAGAGAGAACAGCTGCATGTGCAGAGACCCTAATCCAAGAAGAAGAGTGAAAGGTTCAAAATAACTGCAAGTAGTTCAGTATAGCTAGAGAAGAACTTTGTTGGTGCAAGCGGGGAATGGTATGGAGAGTGAAAAGGGCTAACGCCAGACAGGAGAGCCAGGGCACAATCATGAGGGGTGCTGAGTGCCTGACAAAGGAATTTGGATGTCATTCTAAATAGTAAGAGTAATTTGTAACGCATTTCTAGCACTTACTGTGGGCTCCGCATTGTTCTAATCTTAGCTCATTTCCTCTTCATAGCTGGTGTATGCTCTAGATACTGTTACTACTGCTCATTTTATAAATAATGAAACTGAGACAGAGAGACTTAAAGTACCTTATCAAAATTGCACAGCTGGGCATTAATGGAGCTGGGAAGGGGCATGATGTAATTTTTGTTTTGTAAAGATCATTCTGGCTGGAGAATGAAGAGAAAATTTGAGAAGACATTTCTGTAATCCAAGTGAAATAAACTGAAGACCTGAACTAAGCTGAGGCCATGGGGAAGGAAAGAAGTAGATGAGCAGAGAGATGTTTGGGGCTAGGGTAGGCAGGACTCAGTAATGGGTCGATAAGGTGTGAGGCCAAGCATGTGACCAGATGGACTTCTCCAAACAGGACTGAGTGCCAGATTTTAGGACATATACAATTGAATACACATTTTCAATGATCATATTTTTCATTAAAATGGGTAAAATAAATATCAACTGATCTCTAATTGGTGACACATTAATTTGAATAGTGGTGTCATTTAAATGAATAAATTGAAAGACCTGGGTTTCACTTTATAAAAAATTTGTAATCAAACTGTGGGGTTACTTCATTCATATCTTCTGTTGTACATAATACAGCTCCCTCTCTCTCTCTCTCTCTTCTTT